CCACAACACTTGCGGTCAAAATGCAAACAAAACACATAACTCTGATAATGTATGCACTGTCCTTGAAGTTGATTGGTCCACACCCGAGACAGCTTTCCTTAGAGCCTAGTCTCACATGGTGTTGGACCAGATGATGCCAAAAGGCGCACAACTCAAAGACAATGCACCATCAGAGTATGAGAGCTCGGGGGAAGCAAAATATCATATTTTGCTACTGGCAAAGGAGGTTCCAATGGTGTAAATCTCTGACATTGTAAAGTAGGCACAGGTAATAAGAACATCAAAACCATTAAAATCTTTGGCTTAAAAACCTAGGCACCTGTCTTGTGCTTTGTCCGGCTACTTTCCTGGCGATGAAGCTCTCTGGAACACCAATGACCGTGGCCACTTTCTGTTCCGTCACATCCAGCTGATTAAACTACAAACAAAACAAACACATGTCCTGTGCATTTTTTTAACAGCTTAGCATTCATTAAGGGCATCATATTCTTAGATTTTTTGGGTAAAGTCACGTAGGTAAAAAAGTAAAATTCATATTTTATTTTTATCTTATTTAACTTTTATGAATTTAAATTTTTTACCTACCTGGTGACTTTACCGAAAAAACCTAAGAATATGAATCCTTGCAGTCACGAAAGCTTCAAATCTAGAATTAAGGGTATCATTTAATACAATGAATGTAGCATTTTCAAATACAGAATAACCCATTTCAAATAATAGTGATATATTAAGATAATTTTAAAGCTTCTACACATAGCCCACCAATCTCAATACCCTTATAACAATCTTAAAAGAAGCTATCACTTTCACAAATCAGAGCGTTATCTATAATTCAACATTTAAATAAGCCGATTATATGTATTGTTGTTACATATCGTGATGCAATGTGTCCACACCTGTCGCATGTACGTGTTCCAGTCCGGTCTGCACTGAGAGACCAAGTCGTACGGCGTCGCCAGGTAGATGAGGTGCAGGTAGTTATTCAGCACCAAGCCTTCAACGCCCGCTTTTAGATCTCGGTACAGCACGGTACAAAAAGCCAAATCGACGGATCCTGCGAGACAAACACGACATTAGAACACTGCGTGCGTGCACGTGCGCTCGTGCACGTGCGCTCGTGCACGTGCGCTCGTGCACGTGCGCTCGTGCACGAAGCCGACTACAGCGTCACTTTGAAAGTAAATGTCAGGCTTGCCTTAAAAGTGAGATTTAGCTTCGCAAAAAAAACATCTACCTTGTAGATTTCAATTTAAAGCTTTCGTGACTGCAGGGATTCATATTCTTGGTTCTTTTGGTAAAGTCACGTAGAAGGGAAATAATAAAATAAATAAAAACATAAAATACATTGTTATTTTATAATTTTTCGGTAAAGCCACGTAGAAGGGAAATAATAAAATAAAAAAATAAAACATTAATATTTTATTATATTATTTATTAAGTTTTTTTTTTTCCCTTCTAGGTGACTTTACCGAAGGAACCAAGAAGATGAATCCCTGCAGTCTAAAACATAATAAAATATATTATATTCTATTATTTTACAATGTTTATTTTTATTATTTTATAATTTCCCTTCTACGTGACTTTACCGAAAATAAGAAAAATAAAACATAATAAAATAAATTATTATATTATTTTATGTTATATTTTTCTTATTTTATTATTTCCCTTCTATGTGACTTCACCGAAAGAAGCAAGAAGACGAATATTACTACCCTTGTATGTGGCTTGACCAAGCTTGGTAACCTCCAGCAGCTGCTCAGAGGGTGCAGCAGCGTCTCCCTCGGACCTCCTGCAGAGCCTCACCAGGCCCGCCTGCTGCAGCTGCTGCAGGCAGTGCCGGCACAGATCCCTGACTTTCTTCATCCCACCACCCTCCTGCTGCTGCTGCACCCCAAACAGGGTGGTCTCCAAAAAGCGATGGATAGCGTCGATGTCCGTTGCGATCTGTTACCAGCAAAGGGTTGTAAATGCGGTTTGTCAATTCGTAATATTTCATACCCTTAGTTCTTTCGGTAAAAGTCACGTAGGTAAAAAATGAAATTAAAATTCACGTTTTATTTTTATTCATTTTCATTTAATTTTTTACCTACACGGTGACTTTACCGAAAGAACTAAGGGTATGAATCCTTGAAGTCACGAAAGCTTCAAATCTAGAATTCGTAATATTTGTTCGATCGTCAACAAGCAACGCAAATGATTACGCGAGTAGCGGTTCGGATTCATCAAGAAAAATGCATCATTGCGCTCATTTACACACTTGATCGTGCGTCTAGGAATACATGAAATATGTATTTGCGTGAACTCTGTAGCCTCTATTGGCATTACAACTCACCACATTGTTAAACAAATATTTCTTCTTGAATCACTGCTCCAAATCGTGACAATGTTTCAAATCGCAAGGGATACACACATATATATGCACCATTTATTTTTACTAAACCAATAAATGTCTTCTTCTTGGTTCTTTCGGTAAAGTCATCACGTAGAAGGGAAGTAATAAAATAAGAAAAATAAACATAATAAATAATTCTCACGACGTTTCGGCCACAACGCAAGCAGCCGTCTTCAGGTGAGGAACAGGTCTGTCGAGAAGACAGAGTCTGAATGACAACCCCAGGCTTGGAGCGTGTTTTTAAGCTGGGTTGGAGGGGGGGAAGAGCGCCTTGACAAAATAATTTGCATATCAAGAGGAGTTTAGCATATATTTAAGCTGGGTTGGAGGTGGAAGAGCGCCTTGACAAAATAATTTGCACCCAGCTTAAAAAGACGATCCAAGCTTGGGGTTCACTCAAACAAGCATGATCTGATGAGTTGATGACTTAATGATGACATCACTCTGCTGCTGCTGCTGCTCTATATAAGATCAGGAGACACAGCAGAGCCTCACCATTCTGGCGAATTGCCCGATGATGATGCTGGATGCAATTACCAGCGAAACGTCGTGCTACTCAAATTGGAAATGTTGTGGTTTCACGCTTCAACACACCGGTGGGCTAAAGCAGTGAACTATTTTGTCTTTTGTCAACGTGACACTTTTTTACTGATTGCCGTGTCGGGTGGTGGAGGGTTACGACACATTTATAAATAACGCGGCGATCTAAACCCAACAACGTTGATTATGAAGCATGATCTATTTAAACTCTGAGTATGTAACTACCACGAACCGTTTCATATCAAATGTATCGTGTCAAATGCATGCATCTGTTGCCCCAGCAGTTTGTAAACGGTAAACATCGGCTCCAAAAACACACAAACAGGTGCCGAGTATTATTAACAGACTTGTCTCCTGGTTGCTGCGTAACATTTCCATGGAAACGTCACTGCAGTTCATTTCGTGCGTAATTTACGTTATAAGCAGAACAGAAACTGACCTTCAAGCCAATGAGTGACAGGAGTAGGCTT